TATACTTGTAAGTGTTTTATGTGTGCTTGAGTGCATAGCTTTGCTGAAATAGGAATCCATCACCAGTGTTGATAGGAACCTTCTTTATTTTGGTGTCAGTGCAGGTGATCAACCAACCAGCATCTATTTTTTGGTTAGATGAGAGAATATGCATATTTTACTTCCAGTTATTTTACACCGTTATTGTTGTCCCGCTGTGCCGTATTTAATGCGCCGTCCTCATCACCCCCATTTGTTTGCTGATAACCGTCAGTATAAATCACCAGAAATCATACATCATTCCAGTACCTGAAAGCATAACGGAGCTTTATCTTAGCAGGACTTATTTTTATGTTTACTGCATACCAAGCAAAAGTTTCAGCTTCATCATAGATCAGGTTGTTTGGATGTCTCTTAGTGAACAAAAAGCTTAATGTATTGATCTTCTTACAACACAAGATCAATATCATAAAAGCAATTAAAAGCTCTACCTTCAAAATCCAACTTGCTCCAGTCTGTTAAACTGAGGCACCTCTGCATCAGTAGAAAACACACTTTGCCTTTAATACTCATAACACAACTTAGTTGACAATAATCACGATGATTAATTACTAGCTTGTTGACTGCCCATCCCTGATTTGTGGTTGCAAATTCAGTTTAATTATAAAAGCTTGCTGTTTCATTAAAGGTATACAATAACATAATAAGCAGCTGGAGAACAGCAATCAAGTATAATTTAGAAACTATGGTGGGCATAGAGGAAGAAGAGATGAAAAATTATTCTCTTCTGAGTGCACTTTTGTGTAGGCTACAATAATTGACTGAGCACTAAAAATAATGTCTAAGAATAGCTCGTCTGTACCGCGCATTTAAGCCTAGCTTTCATCACAGAATAAGGCCATGAGTCATAACAGCAAATCAATGACACCATATTGATTCACCAAGGAGTCCATCAGCAGGCCGAGGTGGCTCATTAAAGCTGAGTGGGGAGAAAGAAAGAAATCTTTAATAACCTGGGCTTAATGCCACAGAACGTCTGACGACAACTTCAATTTTGTCGAACTTTACCGCGTTTTACATTTACAAGATCAAAGGGACAGTTATTGTGCTGTTTTTAACTTACATACAGTGCATAACTCTCATAGGGTGCGTTCACACTGCAGCTTGAAGTGACCCAATTCTGATTTTTTGGCAATTCCGACTTTTTTGTCGTGGCCATTCACACTGCCAGTAAATGCGACCTGTATGCGTTCTGCAGTGTGAATGGGCAAACGACCTGAAAGTGTCCCGCATGCGCAGTACAGGGCGCAATAACGTCAGCGTTCTCAGTGTTCTGCCAACCGCCATAAAAAGAAGAAGTGCTCAATGTTTGCGGAAGTAAACATGGAGGCTAACGGTGGAGCTTAGCTTACATATTTGAAGTTGTTGTCCGGCCAGAGCAACATATTAACAACTTAATCCTCATATAGTCCGTCATGGTTGTTGTTTTTCTTCCCGCTTGCGCGTATCAGGACGCAGATTAGTGAGATTTGTTGAGAAACAGTGACGTTCAGTTCGGATGAATGCGACCTGGACGTTAGGTCGCATTTGAATCAGATACGTGTCGGATATGGGTCACATTCGAAAAAGAATCCGACCTGTGCTGTTCATACTGCCATGAAAAGATCAGATACAGCCAGGTCGCATTACGTTAAAAAATCGGAATTGGGTCACTTTAGGCTGCAGTGTGAACGCACCCTTAAGAGTCCTTGCTTTTGCATAAATATAATTGACATGACGCCGGGCCGCCTCCTTGCAGAAGTAGAGCTGTCCTCCGACAAGCTAACTTATGGCAGACTAACGGTCATTGAGGTCCGTCATTTTTGTGTTATAAACCAACACTGAGGCAAAGACAGCAGGCAAGAAAATTCTCTAACTAGACCGACGTCAGGTCTGTAAGGTTATTAGCGGGAAATAACGGAGAAATCAACGATAAAGCCCAAGAGGAAAAATAAGGGACACAAAGTCTGGTTGGATGTGAGTGTGAACGCAGTGGGACGCACTTTGCACGTACAAAATGGGTGAGTAACAACTTAACTAAAGTCGGCTTGTGAAAATCTGCCTTCAGGAAAATACTTAGAAATAAACAGTAGTATGAAACAGTGTTTATATGCCAATATAGCAGTTAGCGCAGTCTGTTTTCATGCTGCCGTTGAAATCTACACGCATAAAATACAGCATAACTACCTTCACTTACTGATCTGGAAATGATTAGATGTTTAGCATTGTTGTTTTAATTTAACTGAGTTGTGTTTATTTGACGCTTATCTGTCAGTCGTGAGTCGTTAGCATGTAGCCTGAATCGTTATCAGGGAGCCGTGAGTCGTTAGCACGGACCTATCAGTAAGTGTCGTTATGTCAAAAACTGGGATGTTTACTACCAGTTACCTTCATGGTGCTGACTAACCTGGTAGTTTCCGTCCATCAGTTTCATTCAACTGGACGTGAGGTGGGCTGCAGTCCATGATCAATTTCTTGCGTTACTCCAGACTCTTTTTAGGTTTTGGAAATGTGATGAATCCTATTCCGCCCCCTAAAACGTTCTGGGTAACGGCTGTCGGGAATAAATATTACCCACTGACAACTGGGACCGTGATTATCTAGTATTTTCCTCAAAATCTCTCTGACTGCAGCGTGTTTTCTATGATGGATACTGTCAATATTGTCGGAAACTGTACTTGGAATGCTGATTGGTCAGTTGCTGACAAGTGCCCTGGAATGATTGGGGGAGGATTGTTCTACGTCATCATGGGGGCGGAACCGGCATCATTATCAATTTCGTAAGACAACTAATGTGTAAAAGTTTAAATATGTCTTCATTACCTTATATAAGTTTGAGACTTGAATCTCATCAATTCAAGATCAAGCTGGTCAGCATGTTGTGGAGAGATCTCTACTCCCCTTAGCTTGTCTCCCTTATGTCAGGAATTTACCAAAGATACTCTGAACTCGGTCCCCAATTGAGTGATTAGGTGGTGGAGAAGCAGAAGCTTGCAGCAGAAGGGAGGAAGGCAGAAAATTTAGAGTGCAGCTGGAGGGTTTGCATCTTAAATAGGCCACCCAAGCCATGAGAGTATATCTGGTATATATATGCAAAGTGTGAAAAAGATCATGTGTAAACCATCTGTACATCATAGTTACTTGTTTTAACACGCAGAAATGGCCTCAGTTCAGTTTTTCCACAGTGAACGCCTCACCATGGGCCATTGAAAAAGAGGTATGCGCCATCTTTAAACAACTTTCCTCGCTATAATGTCATAGCAGTTCATTAACAGACATAATGTGATTCTTCACACCAAAGATGTGCCAATCAGAGATCAGGAACAGCCCGATATTTATCTCTGGCATTTGAAAAGTGCTGACACTGATTTCTCTTTAAGAATGACAACAATATTCATAGTAGGAACATTTAGAGCATTTTACTAACAGCAGCAGCCATATCAGTTCGAATCTATTTTCTAAGGAAAATAGATTCGAACTGAAGTGTATTATTTCCAAAACTGACATGATTCATGACTTACTGAATCATGTAAGTCATGATTCAGTAAGTCATGAATCATGACTTACTGAAATTGAAATTGAAAGCCAAAAATAAATAAATAAAATAAAACAAAGCAACATTTTTTATATTGTCTGTCCAGGGGGCTGTTGATGTTAATTCAATTTTTGAAACAGGCATCGTAAAATTTCATTCACTTTTGCAGAGACTACAAGTCTAAAACAGCGCAGAAAATCGATGCCACTATTCAAAACGTCTCCGTTTGTTTGTTGACTAGCCCGGTAGAAAATCTACCGGAGGAATCCAAGTCAACAGGAGAGACCAGATTGTGCTGGGAAGTATAATTGAGCGGATCTGTGTAGGAAGGATTCACACACATTCTTCTCTATGCCTGGATCTCATAACCGCCTACGTCAAATCTGCTGACAGCAACTAAAATGACGGACTCCTCAGACATTACGTTGACAAGACATATTGTGAAACTCTAATAACCAAAGAGATGATGGCAAAGAGTCTAGTAACATGCAGATTTTGTGAACTGAAACTGAGCGAATTCAGTTTCACCAACCAACTGCCCAGTCTGGAACGCCTGTTTAATTTCTTGGTCATGTTCACATTTGATATAACATTCGAGTTATCCAAGACTACAAGTGTAAACTCTTATCAAAGGTCATATTTATTGACAGTGATAAAGGCATGTCAAGGAAGTGCATTACAAACACTTCATTCATGCAAGTATAATTTCAAATTTATGCATTCTGCAAGAGAAACAGCTCAAAAAGCTGTTTTTCACGCATAGACTAGACTGCAAGGTTTAACAAATACCTTGTAAGCCAGAAAGGAAGAGGCAATAAACCACATGTGACACTTATATAAATACAAGGGTGCGGTAAGTTTAAGTTTGATTAGTTATGCTGAGTATTGTATCCCGCAAACAGGTTCCGTTTGTTTATGTGAGTTTGTCTCAGCCTTTCTCTTGTATCCTGGTCAACATTCAGTATTTAAACTTTTGAAAGAACTAACATTGATACAGGGCTAAAAGTTGATAAGTCCATAAACTCTCCTTTCTTTTTCTTTCTTTCTTATTTTCTTTCTTTCTTTCTTTTTCTTTCTTTCTTTCTTTCTTTCTTTCTTCCTTCCTTTCTTTCATTTTTTCTTTCTGTCTGTCTGTCTTTCTTTCTTTCTTCTCTCTCTTCCTGTCTTTCTTGTTTCATTCCATGCTTTTCAAATGATCAGCTCAAATGGGAATAAAATTATCCCTCATTCACACTCAGATGCACACACGCCTCCTGATTACTCTCCTCGCCTACTTGACAAATGCGCGGCACACAGTGGCACAGCTGTGCTGCTGGATTTATGATTATCTTTATGTGCAAAGATAATGACTATGCACTTGGACATATGGGCTTTGCAGTGTTTTTCACCTCCATTTGGAAATTATTAAAATGCCAGCTGCAAAAACTGAACAACCTCAACACAGTGCACTTGTTCAAGCCAGTGGTTTATTTATTTTTATTCTATTGCAACATGTCTCTGAAGTTTAAGAGTTTTGATATTAATTTGTGGTGGAAATTGCATGCATAATTTTATTTACACTTCAAGAACTGCATGGTACACACGTACAGAATGAAAATAAAATAAATAAAAAAAAGGCTGGTTCACTGTAAAGCGTGTAACAAAAATTGTCTGCCACTTAGAGAAGCCTCAGGAGCGATTAAACCAAAAGACTACAATGCAATTGCTGAGCCCTGAGAGAAAAACATCTGGCAGCCCTCTTCCTCTATGCATACTGTGCAGCGTGGGAGAAACAGACACCTAGACGTCCACACTTTCGGTAAAACTTCAGGACATTTTTTAAGTTAGTAAGTGAAACATTTTCAAAATGTTCTCAAATGTACTGTCACATTTATCAAGTTCAACTTTTTCTTTTAAAACATAGCATTTTACTTGGGCAAAAATGCTAAACATCAAACCACAACAACCTGTTGGGGTGACTATGCAAAATAAATAACACTTTGAAGAAGCACCTTTTGATTCAATAACAGCATTGACACTCCTTGTCAAACCAATATTTCCTTACTCTGCCTCAAAACGGGTCTCAGAATCTACCAGATCTTTTTTCACAAACCTCCCAGATAATCCAACAGATTTTGCCTCAGTTTTTAATTCTGGTTTTAAGGTTTTAAGTGAAAAATTATATTAAACTTGGTCTCACAATGCTAGAATAGATTCCTCGAGGAAGCCTGCTGCTCAGTTCTGAAGCAAAACAAAAGCAGAAAAGCTACAATTTCTGAGCTTCAGGTTAATCAGATTAGCTACAATTGATAATACATGTACGGTAGGACTAAATGAACACCAAAAGGTGCATAGTAAGAAGTATAAGGGTGTGCACACTTATATGGTTATTGGTGCTATTTTATTTTTTTATGTTTTCCTCTTTGCAGGTTTTTCAGCTTTTCAGTTGAATTAAACTAGTTCACAAGTCACATAGAAGAGCAGGGAACATATTTATGAAAACATTTGATACAATCTTATTTCTTTACATCACAAATGCCCATCTGTATCACAAGAATGAGCAGTTCCTCTGTAATTGAGGTCGTAAGGGCTAATACATATTGTGCATACATACAAACAAATTATGTATCACAGTCAGTCTGCCCTTCATATCAAGGCACCCTTATTAGAGCTTTCTTTTTTATACGAAGTCAGCTTGCAGTCCTCCGTCCCTTTCTGTTCATGACTTCTGCAGCAAAGTATCAGTTTATCTCTTACAACATTACTGACCAGAACATACAGCACAGGATCCACGACACAGTTCAGACTGGACAGCGCCAGAGTGCCGGAGAAGTGGAAGTGCATTGTTTTTTCAAAACTACAGTGAAATTCTTCAGAGTAGAAGAAGCGGACAAGTGAGCGCACAAGGAGGAGGACGTGATAGGGAGCAAAACAAACTGAGAAGATGCCAATTACTCCATAGGATAGCAGACGAACTTTCCTCTTAGCTTGAGCACTCAGGCCAGGACTTTTTCCCACAGTGGCCAGCACCTTCCAGTAGCTCACTCCCAATACGAGCAGTGGTAGTATGAAGCCGAGTCCCACTCTGATCATATTAAACACAGCCACATTAGGCGTCATTGGGTAGGTCTCATAACAATGGTCACTGTTGTATGTGTCATCATGGGCATCTGGTAAGTCGTCATAAATCAGAATGAATACGTGTATGATCGTAACCACAGCATAAACCATGGCACACTGGACCCAGGCGTATCGAGATGTACGGTGGGGCTTGAAGCGGAGTGGGCAACAGACCACCAGGCAGCGGTCCACAGAGATACAACACAGCAGATAGATGCTGATGTACATGTTGGAGTAGTAGAAGAATCCTGCTACACTGCAAGATTTCACACCCAGTCCCCATTTGTGGTCATTTCGGTAATAATTTATCCAAAGGGGCATGGTGAAGACGAATAGCAAGTCAGATATTGACAGGTTGAGCAGGAAGATCCCTAAAACGTTCTGCTGCTTTACTTGCTGGAGTATTGGATACAAAGTCAGCACATTGAAAGTCAAACCGAAGATAAAAGCCAAGATGTAAACAGTCATCAAGATGTCGCTGACAGGACTGTCCTCGATATCAACACACAATGATCCATTTGTAGAATTTGGAGTGGGTGTGACATTCATTGTGTCCTCAGCGTTCAGCTGCTGTCTGGTTTTGGAAGTTCGCCTGCAAGATAAAGAAAACAAAACGCATTTATATAAAGGTGTGTCTTCATGTTGTGTGTCCCTTTTTGGTGTGCTGCATATTACTGTCACATAATAAATATTTGAATGCAACCTTTCATCCACTCTGGACAGCATAGACAGGCTGCAGAGTCTGAACAGGTTGTGTCCACCAATCACTCTCTAATACAGGCTGAATCTAATTTCGCTGTGCATATTTGTAATTCTGTGGAAAGATAAACAACCCATTGTCAGATTCAGTTACTGATTTATATGTATGCTCACAGAGACAGGCTGACAGTTTAATTTGCTGTCCAGCTTTAATTTGAAGTGGCAAAGACGTATTCAGTTGTTGACTCTGGCTGAAAGATTTAATATTGCAAACCTGACCCATCATGCTAATAGATTGTTTTTATTGTCTTCCTGATTTACTCTGTGGATACATCATCAATACCAACGCTTCGAAAATGCTATTAATGTTGCTCAGCAATTCTTAAAAAAACTTTCTTGCATAGGCATCGGAAACAATATTATTGGGTTGATTCTGGGAATAATAAGGTAGTTGAAATGTTTTTGTACTTCTCATTTCTTAGAGATCAGTGATGTTCTTATTTTTTATCTCCTGACTATTTTTATCTTCCTCTATCTGGCTTGTACTGCTCTGTTTACAGGCCCGGGGCGCCTGTAATGGAATTAACATGCCCACAACCCAATAACGGAGAATCCGTGCAGCATCAGATGAGTCATAATGTGGAGCTGCTTTTGTGGTGGTCTGATTCACAAATTCATTCAAATCATTTTCCAAGAGAAATACACATTGGAAACTTGTATGGTATTACAGCAAGGTTTTTTCCAACTTCTGTAAAACCTTACTCTGGCTGTTCTTTCGGCTGTAATAGTCAGACTGTATGACTAACCACATGTTGGTATTCCCCCTTTACAAAAACGGGCATATTTCGTGTGTGGCAGTTTTATTTTTGGGGGGATGTGGGCTATGTGTTTAAATCACAATGTTAATAAGAAATAGAAAAATTAATATATGTACAAAAGCTGGAGATTCTGCTGGAAATTATTTTGTTACGTTTACATGTTATTTTTGTGTTGTTGAGACACAAACTGGGTACGCAGGTGGAAAGTCTGCTTACAAAGTTTGTTTCTCAGCAACACGAAAAGAACATGTAAAACTATGTAGAATATGTAAAAAAAATCAAAATGACTGAAACTATCAGCTGCGACAGACTGGCGACCTGTCCAGGATGTACCCCGCCTCTCGCCCGGAACGTTAGCTGGAGATAGGCACCAGCACCCCTCCTGACCCCACTGAGGGACAAGGGTGTTCAGAAAATGGATGGATGGATGGATGGATGGATGAAACTATCAGCATCCGTCTTTAATTCTCAGAGTTTTATCACGCAGTATTTTTTTTTACAAAAACAAAATTTCTGCCTTTCCGTTTCATAGTTATGTTAGTGTTTGTGGTGTAGGTGAGTATTGCTTCCTCTTTTAGAAACTGGAAACATGTTTGATTTAGAGCTTCACTGCTTGACCAGGCAAAGCAAAACCCATTATTTTGAAGTCAAAATCAATAACTTCATCTTCTCAAACAGCCTTCTCCTGTAATCTGAAACATTTCAGTGTCCTGCTCTGGGAATTTCTAAACACTAAACTAGAAAATCAAACATTACCACACAATAGAGCCAGGCATCATGTCCTGTTAAGGTAACAAAATAAGCTTCTTTTTTTTTTATTAGAGCAAACAGATTAAACAGTAGAAAAACAAGATTAGCATTGTTTTAACCCTTGTGCTACAACTTCTAAGATGTTTTTTTTATATATAAATATAAGTATTCTGCTATATATTTCATATTTATAACTTTAGTCAATAATAACCTCACCTGTTTTTGTTCAGAGTTGTGTTTGAAGAATAAAATCTGTCTTCCGGTCAAAAAGTGTACAAGTTCCACAGATGTTTCAGCTTCTGTCCCTGTTGGTCAGAAAATGTTCGTCAAAGAGAAAGAAAAAAAAATCCTCATAATTTAAAATCCAGTCTCTACAGCCTCACATTGTCCACCTCAACGAGTGAGAACGTTACTAGCTAGTAAAGCAATTACCCCAAAGTACGTGGACCTTTGTCTTTGTAATTTCTCTTAATTTTACCCTTATTTATGACTTCCTGGAAGCAGCTGCAACTTAATGTCAGCAGCAAGTCGGCAGAGTGGGTGAAACAAATTACCACCAGGGAGGGGAAATACACGGAGGGAGGAGGTAGAAATGTGATCTACACGTTCGTGACGGAAAGTGGCGGGCGGAGTTAGCTCTAGCATTACAAACACGAAGCATGCATGCTCCTGAATGAGGAAAAGAACTTCAGTTCTTGGAAGTCATTTGCCCGTGGGCAGACGGGGATAAAATACGTAATTACCCATTTTACTACAGGCTGTGAAAAGTCTTTCACCCATGTCCCAGGTTTTGTGGATCATTCCCAGTGCCTGTTTCCACAGATTCCAAAGGTTCACACGTTAAATGATCTACATGTAAGGAGCTATGCACACGCTGGGACAGGACTTGTGTTTGTCAGATAGCGGAAATGCCTCTGTACGGTTCCTAGAGACCCACGTGTACAAAAACAGCGTGGTGAAAGAAGCCTGCAGCAAAGTTTATCTTAAGTAAACATCTGCTGCAGATGTTTATTTACAGTGAGCAGGCACACATACCTGAGGTATGTGAAGCAGAAAGGAGTGAAATCAAATCATTAGCTTCACATTTTTGTTTGTCATTATGCTACGAGAACAGAACATCCGCCAGTACCCTATAAGTCTGTCCGCATGTAGGGGTGGATAGACTTATAGGGTGTGAGAAGAGAAAAAAACAACAAAACAAATCTAAGAAACCACATCAGCAAATAACATGTGGTACATGCGTTATGCTCACGGTATCTGCAAGATGCATTTAGTGGATCTATGTGTGTCAATGTGTGTGAATATGCTTGTGTCGAGGTTTCTCCATTAGAATATAGTGAGTGTGGGCTTTCAAACCTTTAAAGAAAATCAACATGTACTGTATATTGTTGCAGTGTGTTGACTGACGGTGAGAAAATTGTTCTTGACTTCTCCCAGGTATATGTAAATATTTCCACTTAAAATACTTTGATCATTGTTGGTATAGGAGGGTGGTTTCCTGAAGTCTATGACCACATCCTTTATTTTACTAAACTTCAGCTTCAGGTAATGTTTGTTATTTACAATGTAGTCAAAAACAGGTCCAGGATGAGTCCACCGCCCTGTGGTGTGACTCTACAGGTTCGGGCACATTATGATTTTTGTCTATTTCTTTTTTTTGTTTTCTTATAGACCTTGATTAAATGACCTTTTGTAAATATATTTTGACGTTTGGATAATTTCTTTTTGGTCATTTAATTACGTTAATTTGTGGTGCTGTTGGTCCGCCTATAAATAGGCTGGCTTTCGGCAATAGAGAGCCTCCTCTCCATTCCCGCCTGGGCTCCGCCTTTCCGCTCGCTTCACCACCTCCAGGTGTGGTGTGTGCTGAACCAGCTGCTGTGGGCCGCAGCTGAGGTTTCCTGCCTGCCATGCGGTATCTTTGTTAACCTTTGTTTGTTTTTTTTTCGTTGTGAGTTTGGCCTGGTGGGACCGGTTGTCCTGTTTTCGATCTTTCTTTTGCATTAGGTTCTTTTTGCTTTAGTCCGGTACTAGTAGGGGCTTCGACGGCCCTGTACAGGGTTGGTCCCCTGCTGTACCGTTTTGTTATGTTTGATCGGCTCACCAGGTCCAACTTTCTGTTAATACTTTTGAGGTTTTGTTTTTCTTTATTTTTTTTTTGGGACACGGGATCTGAGGGCCTGAACTCTTATTTTCTTCACAGAAAATCAGAAGAAGCTGAACTAAGAAAAATAAAGTGAAGAGAATTTATGAATAAAATATTTTGTTGAACCCTCATCTTTTGTCTCGTGTCCTCAAGTATGTTGTGCCCTTGGTGGACGTAACACCCAGGTATATGTAAATATTTCCACTTAAAATACTTTGATCATTGTTGGTATAGGAGGGTGGTTTCCTGAAGTCTATGACCACATCCTTTATTTTACTAAACTTCAGCTTCAGGTAATGTTTGTTATTTACAATGTAGTCAAAAACAGGTCCAGGATGAGTCCACCGCCCTGTGGTGTGACTCTACAGAAAGCAGATAACATGAAACATGACGATTACATAGTGAAAGTGTGCCAGATCGCATCGACGGTGACGCAGACGGCATCTACAATGAACAAACCTTGGATTTTAATGTGATGCAAAACATTCTTTGTAATTTTCACTGTAGCTACCCACCTGTTTGCAATGAGTTTCAGTTTCTGTCACAAGTAGGAGGGGGAAATCATACGTGATTCAAATCACTTGGACAGACAAACAAAGCAACAAGTGTCATGGTAAAGACTTTCATCCAAACTTTTTTAATTTAACGTACTGTACAGGTACATTACCAATATGGGCTGAGATTGAAATTCATGCCAGGACATTAGTTTGGAGAGGTCTTTTATCTGATTGCAAATCAGATGAAAGTTAAACCATCATTTTAAAATGAAAGAACTTTATTTGTTTGAAAACATTGTGTTTTCGTCAGCAATTAAAACTACTGTGTGTATTTAATGACGAAATTAATACAAGAGGGCTGTTTCACAAAACTAAGATACCAGATTAAGCTGGGATTTTCTGGATTTCCTGGCTTAAGGAAGCTTCAATAAGGTTTCACAAAAGCAGCACCGCATAAGTTACCATGGTGATTTATCCTGTGCAGCTAGTCTTCTTTAAACCAGGCTAACAGATTATTGCATGTGTTGAGATAATTACACAAATGACATATTTTTTGGACTAGTCATGAATTCAATCGATCCTCCAATAAAAGATGTTGTTCGTTTGGTGTGAGGTATGGCATAACGCGTAGCATCAGTCTATCTGTGATTGATTTCATGTCCTTTTAAAAGAAATTTGACGCTCATTAAACTGAAGCCTGGCTCGAAATTAGTTGTACCTTCTGAGCCCGCTTTGGTCTGTGTGAAGCAGCAGGGCCGCCGAGCTCAAATCATGGCAGTGGCAGCTAATGAGGCACTTCCTGTGACAAAATGTGTTTATTATTAATTCTTTGGTGCAAAAAAAAAAAAAAAAAACTAATTGAAAATCGATTTATTCACTGCATGTTTATGTCTGTTTGTGTCAGGTTGCGATGGAACTGCGCATGAAAACGGCCCTTTAAACCATTCAGACCAACACAATAGAGACACAATCAAAACTATCAGATGACTGATTACCCCACGATAATAACTCAGAAATAGTCCAATAATTCGGTTTGAAGTGTCTTGGTGTTGTAGCTTTTTAACTAGAGTAGATTAAATTAGCGAAAAGTAGTGAAAAATTAGGTGGAATCGCCCTTTAGGCTTTTCCTGAATCGGAAGCTGGACGCCAGTCATACGTAAACAAACTGACTGGATTCGCCCTTTAGGGACGAAGCTGAAGTTGGGTTCTGGTTGCAGCTTCAGATTCATGAAACGACTAAAGGCAGATTAATACGGAATGAAAGCTTCAATCATAACGAGGCTCAGATGGCTTTGCTGAGCATCTTCTGTTCAGCTCAGAGTGTGCATACTATTACTGATTTCATTCATAATGCAAAGAAGCATCCAGGTGCCAGTAGCAGGTCGCAGCAGCCCGTGGCACCTTACGGCAGCCATCACTGGAAGTGCCGCAGTAGCCGCCGCTGCCACGATTTGAGCCTGCCGTCTCTCGTGTGAAGCGGATAAAGCCAAGATGTACTGATGACACTACGTGAAGCCTGGTTTCATCTCTTATCCTGGGTTTGTTTACCCTACTGAAGTGAAACAGCCTTCTGGTCTGTATTGGACCAAAACATTGCAGTTTGAACTCTCTGATCCTCATCCCCATCAAGTTTCCCAGGCCCAGTGCCACCACAAAATCAACAACATTCAGTTGCTCGCCTCCTCTCTCATGGAAGAATAATAATGATTACATAACAATACAAATAACAATTAGTATTGTTATTGTTGTTGCTGTTGGACACCTCTGATCTTAATTTTTTTTTTATAACATGAGAGTTGTGATTGAAAACGGGTCATTTGGAGCTTGCCATGTGTCTAACATACAGCACTCTACTTTTCCAAACGTTTGTAAATTGCTAATTCATGTTATTTCAAAATGCATTATGAGTAAATGCAATTACCAGCTGCAGGTTGGGGCTTCAGGCACTAATGGATGGGAACGGAAGTGCAATCACAATATGCGATCGTGTTACATAAATACAGTATCAACTGTCTTCTGTTGTTTATTCACTCTGTTAGCTGATAGTTATCTCAGGACCATTAGACCAAACACTCCAAAACTATTTACTGTTTAATCTGCATTCCAAGTTAAAGATGTTATCCTTTTTTCTGACATCAACAAAATCCTTTCAAGTCCCAATCCAATCCTGCAACTGGAATGAAACAAAAGGGAGAAATCTGACTGACTGTACATTGGCATTTGCATTTACACAGATTTGGGTGGTGGAGCAAAACATTGTATTCAAGTAAAAGCAGCATTACTTCAGTGTATTTTTTTACTCGAGTAGAAATTGAAACTAATGATTAAAAAAATACATTCAAGTAACCATTCACACTTCAAATATTCAAATGGTAATTTGGTCTCAAGCTGACAAACTTGGCCTCAAAAACAAAACTTTTCAGTACAATTCTTGATATTTTAGCACGATATACTGGACTGTGACACCATTTCATCACCCGTTCTGTTTCTATTTATATATATATATATATATATATATATATATATATATATA